AAAAACTGGTCTGGAGCAACCAGGAAGACCACGAGGAGAGAGGATCGAAGGATCATGCAGCAAGCACTTGTGGACCCCACAGTGACTCGTTCAACGATACGAGCAGAAGTAGGAGTAGCAATTATTCCACAAACAATTTCCAGACACCTAGCAGAAGCAAATCTTAAATCCAAGTGCTCTTTCCGTGCACTCCCTTTAACACCGGAACATCGGCAACTGCGTCTACAGTGGTGCCAAGCCAGATCAATGTGGAATGTCACAGAAGTGGCAAAAGGTTGTGTTTAGTGATGAATCCCGGTTTGTTTTGGGGACAGATGATAACCGTGTACGGGTGTGGAGGTGCCCTGGTGAGCGGTACAATTCCCCCCACCCTGTTCTACGTCACACTACCCGCACAGCTGGTGTAATGGTCTGGGGGGGCATAGCCTAAGATAGCCGGTCCACTTTAATTGTGATGCGTGGAACCTTAACGGGCCAACGTTACGTTGATGATATTCTACGACCCCATGTAGAACCTATCCTAAATGGTCTCCCAGGGGCAATTTTGCAGCAAGATAATGCTCGTCCACATACAACAAGAGTTGCTCAAGACTTCCTACGTCATTTTCATACTCTTCCATGGCCAGCCAGCTCCCCCGATTTGTCCCCTGTAGAGCACGTGTGGGATCAGCTAAAACTGCAGATGCCACCGTGTCACTCTATACATGATTTAGAGTTGGCTATTCAAGATGTGTGGGCCCATCTGCCTTAGGACAACATAAGGTGTCTAATCAACTCAATGCCGGACCGTGTGGCGGCATGTATATCAGCTGGAGGTGGTCCAACGCGCTATTGAAGTTGCCCAGTATTTGTGTCGTTGCACACCCTGTATTCGTTTAATTGTCTTGTTTTTGAGATCAAGTGAATCTCTCATCTGTGTCATTATGTGTATTAAATTTCATTTCAATCCAATGCTTTCGTCTTGGGTCGCTATTTTCAATGTTCCTGAGTGTATATGTGGTGTTGGACTATTTTTTTGTTTGTTACTGTTTATTCGTTAATTAAATTTAATTATTCCAATAAAAGAGTTTTGTAAAAAGAAATCACATTCTCAGAAATGAGGCCATCTCAGGTGGAATTCGAACCCACGACCTTTGGATAAGAAGTCCAATGCGCTATCCATTGCGCTAGAGGGACACAACGAGCTATTTTCCTTTTTATAAATGGTGTTGGACCATTATTTTTGTTTGTTACTATTTATTCATTAATTAAGCTTAACTAATGAATTAATATTTGAAAAAACTGTATTAACATCAAGTGTCATCCACTTCAAGTTTGAAAAAATGTATTTTAACTTGAGTGGATGAACAAAAAGTATTTTTATTAACGATTGAAAATTCGAACAAGATATATATATATATTTATAGATATACATATACATATATAGGGAGAATGTGAGCTAATAGTTTTAATTGGAAAAAGAAAGTATATATAAGATTGTAGTGTACGAAATTTTCATCCAGTGCCACATTTACCATCAAATCATTTTTATAGAGTGTAAAAGTCTTTTTAAGCTAATAAACCGAACAGATTTTAAAATTTGAAATCTATTCCTTTCAGTGAGTGAAAACATGATTTTTTTGTCATTCCATTCATTTTGTCATTTATCTTTTTGCCTGTTTCAGAGGTGTAGAAAGGCTGTTGTACATGAAATCTTTCGAAGCTCAAAGTACTTATAATGAATTGTCTTAAGCCAAAATATATAAATAAATAAAGATTGTACAATTATCCGAATTCACGTAAACCACAAAAAGCAATTTTCTCTTTTTAAAATCCGCATGCGGCTCAATTAACTTCTTTCACGCCACGTCCGTTTTATTTTGTTCTTTTTTCACGCTCGTGTGACTCTATGCCACATTTCGAAGAAACTTCCTTGTAAAGATGACGAAATCAATGTCTTAACCAGACGGACACAAAAGATAAACCATTAGTATCCAAATTTAGCAAAATAATTTTTTTTTGCAACTTAATATGCTCAAAATTACAAATACACACTGCCCCTTTTCTTGAAAGGCTGTGAATTTCGGTTTTTTTCAGTTGTTTACATTACTATTTATACTTGAGCCAGTAAAAATTTATAACGAATTGAAGACTCAGAATTTAGAAGCATTTAATAACTCTATAGAGAAATCTTGAAGAAAGAATAGTATAGAGAAACGGTTAAAAAAACCCATTTTTCATGCCAAGCGATTTTAATCTTTTAGTTTTTTTTCGGGGGCAAGAAAGTTTTATTCTAAAAGTGTGAGGGAATAGATCCTCTCTCTTGCCCGCGTAGAGGTGTGGGAGGAAGGGTAAGAAACACTAGTCATATTCAAAATCAATCTATTTATTGATCAAATAATTTACCAACTCAATTCAAGTAATTTCAAAAAGAGATGTCCTCAATTCTAAGCAATATGTGGATTAACAGCGAGATATACGAATTGGGCGAAGATTATAATTCTATCTATCCTTTTATCGCAGGATCAAATCTACTATCTCAATTATCTCAACACTAATCAAACAGTAGCAATCTATCCTATCTTCTCACTTTCTCTCTCCCCTTCTCTCTCTAGCTAGAAAACCTAGACTGTACATAGTAGACCTAATTTGAATAATCAGGTTTTCTTCTTCAGAGGGTTCGCTGTGAATACACACGACTTGATAGACCAAAGATATCTCAAGAGGATCAAGGAAACTACGCGGATAGATCCGTTCCAAAGGAGTAAAAAGTCACATAAATCCTCCAAATATGTCTGAATTCGAGTTTCCGAATAGTTAGTAAAATACAAATCCATTCCTTGGGAATGATTGAATGCATACAAATCATAATCAAAGCTACAGCTAGAACTTCTTTCAGGGAATGAAATATAGGTTGACGATCACGTGTTGCCTACGAATTTCTCTTCCAGCTCATTTTTCAAGCAAAAAAAAAAATGCTCGTAAATTATGACTGGCACACACAGAGAACAAGATAACAAATTAGTTGTGTTTTACTTCACAGTAATTAGATCGGTTTAATAACATTTTTGGCAACATGTTTGAAATTTGCATTTTTTAAAAATTAGGCTTATGTACGAGTTTCGAATTTTGGATAAATTTTTGATGAAAATTTATCAGTTTATACATGGATAGGCTTATATTCAGAAATATACGGTATACATAATTCCATTTTTTAAAAAAATGTTGGCAAGAATGGGAAAATTTTCTGTTGGTTACATTTTTCTTTTTCATAAACATGATTTAGAACTCGTCTTTGTAATAAAATAAGAGAGCTATAGAATCCCTTTAAGCTTTAAAACTCGACTGGTACCTATTTAGTTCCGCAAACTTTTTCTCAGAAAAAGAGGAGATGAGTTGTCTCCAAATCACATGGTGCAGTAATTGTACCACAGCAGAAGTGAATACAGAAAAAAAATATTGTGAGATATCGTATGTAATGCTGAATTTTGTGTATCCACCGAATTTCAAAAATTATTCTAAAAAAAAGATGTATTCTTTATTAATTGAACAAGCTGTGCTATTTGTATATATTTTAAAATTTTGCTAAGTAGTAATACTAAGCCTAATTTTAGAATGTTACTTGAAAAAACTATTTTGAAGTATGTCTTTTTCATATTTATTTTAAGTAATATTCATTAAGTGTATTATTTTCGGACTAATATTTCGAAAATTTAAAAAGGAATAATCTTTGCATGGATAACATTTCGAATTTTTCGATACAATGGAGGGTATTGAACGTAAACGTATTCTCGGCTAAAAAAACCCATTTTACTCAATCGATTTTAGCTCTGGTTCTAGTTTTACAGTAATTAAACTTATATGAGCTAACTAGAATAATAAAACTGGAGAAATTTCTGCCATGCATTATATTATACATTAAAATCTAATTAATACAAGAAATCATATTATTTTTTCAGTTATTTTTCCAAAAATATAAAGGAAAACAACGTTTTTTACGTCTTTTAACACCTTGTAAATTAATCAATTAATTAAATTATTTATTACATTTTACGTATTACGGAAATATTTCATACAATTTAATTTGATTTGCCACATTATTCCTTCGTGATATAGTATTACTATTTTAAAACGTCTTCACCACATTTTTAAACATCTTACTTCTTGCCCATTTCGCATCAAATTATTTTGTCATTATGTACTTATAATTGACTCTTACCAAATAGTTCAACAGACGTACTCAAGAGATTACTGAACACACTTTTTTCATCTACTATACCTCCAGAATGTTAAAGATGTCTTACACAAAGAATACAGCAATATAATTCGAAAATTACATCACAAAAAACATCAACATTACTCGAGGCACCAAATAAAAAAGTTAATACCTCGATTGAAGTAAGATATATGATTTTAATTCTCCATTCTTTTCACCTAAAAACAATTTTGTTGCTCGGCAATAAAAGCGATTCTCCGGAAAGATAAAATGAGCGATGATTTCCCCAGAGGTAAAAGAAACGGGTCGTACGGCACAAGGGATCACGACTGCGCCGAAGGGCCCAGCATTACGGGCCTTTGGAAGGCTGTATTAAATGGTGATTGATTTCGAAAAAGCTGTGACTACTTCATTTGGAGATGAGTTCAAGGATCCTCTGAAAAGCCACTTCGGGATAGGTGGGTAGATTTCCCTGACATGGGATGCCTTGATCTTTGGTTTGAAAGATGCGTCCCTGTGCTGACTGAAATCGATAACGTACAGGGATCGGTTCAAGAAAAGTCATTCAATTCCTACTATTAGTTCTCTCTCTCTCTATATATATATACCTAGTTCAAATTTTCGATACTTAATAAAATACTTTTTATTCATCCACTCAAGTTCAAATACATTTTTTACACTTGTAGTGGAGGACACTTCATGTTAATGCAGTTTTTTAAAATATTAATTCATTAATTAAATATAATTAATGAATAAGAAGTAACAAAAAATAACACACTATATAAAAAGGAAAACCACTCGTTGTATCCCTGTAGCGCAATGGAGAGCACGTTGGACTTCTAATCCAACGGTCGTGGGTTCGAGCCCCAGCTGGGAAGGCCTAATTTCTGAGAATGTAATTTCTTTTTTACTATTCTATTTTATTGGAATAATTACATTTAATGAATGAATAAATAGTAACAAACAAAAAGAATAGCCCAACACCCTATATAGTAAGGAAAATTGCAAGGGAAATCGCTTTCTATTTCTCCCCCCACTTAATACTGTGATTCTGTCATATGTATATACAGTCGAACCTCCATATAACGAACCTCTATATTGCGCATTTTTCTATATAGCGAACTTTTTCCTGGAACCAAGAGCATTTCATGATTTTCTTCGTAAGGTAAGCCTACCAATAGCGAAGTTCATTTTCTATATAACGAACTTTTTCTCTTGTGATTTAATAGTTTTCTCACTATTTTTGAAGTATTTCTGGACATTTCGAGTTATTCTCTCTTTTAGCACATTTTATGGAGATTATAAATTTTGAACTGGTTTTATGAGGTGCCTAACTCGCCGAGAACAATAGAATTCTGGGCATTTCATCCAAGAAGTACAACCTTTAACCCCATTGTCCAGTTCACTAGAAACATCTTCGATATCGCCTTTCACCCTCAGTAGAGTCTCGAGTTTTTGAACTAGTCTCCGTTCATTTGTAGGATTGATCATTTGTACTGGTAACTTCATTTCTTGTAGCTCGAAAATGTCAAAAAGTAGTGTTTGAGCATCAAAGGAAAAAATTTAATTCTTCAGAAAGTGGATAAAGGCGTCAAGAAACTTTTCTTGCAGTTTTTCTTTCTTTTTGTTTATCGGTAAGATATATAAAATAAATATATATTAATTTACAAAAAGTTGTGAATAATTACTTTTTTAATACATAGCGTTTATGAATTTAAAATTTGTTTTATGTGGTTTATAAAGAAAATTGAAAGATGCACCTCTATATAACGATTTTTCCATATAACGAACTTTTTTTCGGGATTTAGTGACTTCGTTATATAGAGGTTCGACAGTATATATTTATATTAATTGTAATTATTAAATAAAAAGTAACTAAAATAAAAAAAATTTTGTTGACCTATGTAGGAATTGATTAAAATTTTTTTTGTAATAATACTTGTTTATTCAGTAAAGAGCTTTTCATACGTAAAACATTCGTTTTAACAGATCAGAATAAATATTAAATTATAGATACAAATTCTGTTACTGTGGATAAATTTCTTAGATAGCTTCTATTTTCTCCGTGTGGCCGTGGTAGCCCGATGTTCAGGGTTGCAAACTCGTATCCGGAGAGAGTGCCCGAGTTCGACCCCTGGTACCGAAGAAGCCCCACTGTGTAGAGAAGATCACTACACGATAGATCTATCGAGGATCAAACGTCTTCCTGTTTGTGTGGAGTGGGAGTTAGAACGGAGGGAGGGGGAAGTTTTAGTAGTAGGCAGTTCAGATTGTAATCCATAAGAAAAATGTCCTAATCTCGAAAAAATTGCCAAGATTTTCGAAGATTAGAACCAGTTCAGGGGTCTCGTTTACCCTCTTGTGAGGGGATGCCTTTCCTTTCGCCTCAATGCTCTGTATGTTCCACATAGGAGAAAAAGCGACTCACGCACTCAATGAGAGATTTCCAGAAATGTTAGACCAGTGGTTTCCAAACTTTTTAAATCCATGGACCCCTTTTTATAGTCAAAACGCCCACGGATCTCTTTTTATAGTCAAAACTTTCCCAAGGACCCCCAAGTGAAAAAGCTACATAAATGCATAGTATAAGAATTTAAAATTTAAAAAGAAACATTTTATTAAAGAATTATTTATTGAGATTATAACTTTTGTTTGAAATAAAATAATTAATGACTTGGATGAACTTGATGAGGTATTATGAGTGTATTTATGCCCGTCTCAATGTTTATGAACAGCAGTCGTAAATCACCACGCGCGCGAACCCTAGTTCTTAGTCGTTTATTTATTTATTTATTTTTTTGAGATTAGGTTTTTTTACGGTACTGAATCCCCGTTCTACCAAATTGGAAGGCGGGGAAGTAATCAACAACTTCTGTACAATAACCCATAATGCAGGATATAAAATTAGGATCTGTTTTTGTAACCATAATGTGTGGTATCCTTGTTCAAACATTGATTAAAGTCCCTCATTTGTAGATATTTCAGTAAGCTGCTTCTGTATTAGTATGGATTCATCTGGGTTAGTCCACGCGCAAAAAACCCATTCGGGAATATCCAAGTGAACTATTATTATTTATTTAAATTTCCAAAAAAATAAAAATGGATAAAATTTTAAAAATTTTATATTAGACCTTGCGCGGATGTTCTGACGTTGTTCAGGAACCCCTCAAATCAAATTTGATTTCATTCAGACCCCCTGAATAATGTTGGGGACCTTTGGGCTCCGTAGGGATTACTTTGGAAATCACTTTGTTAGACCTACGGATCTGAAATTTGGCAGTTATGCTTCTTCCATTGAGTAGAGGTCCGCTAAGAACGGTTTTATGGAAATCATCTTCATAGGGGATTGTGATGGCGTTATAGATAAGAATCCTCCTTATTGAACTATTATACCAACAGGCTTGAAATTTGGGCAGCATGTTTCTTCTAATGAGATTAGAACAATTAAGAATGTGTTTTGAAAAATCGATTCCCAAAGGAGTTGAGTAGTGTTCGTGAGTGTCACGAGTTATAAATTAATTCAACCGACCAAGTCTATCGACTGATTTTTTAAAGTAAACTTAATAAAATTAAAAATTTATAAGTGATTGTGGGTTTCGTAGTGAGAGCGGTTGTTATCCACGTTAGTGATTGCCCCGACAGTCATTCAGCTTCTGCCGAATGTTACATACGGACGGTAGAGGGTGCTCGCAGGCGTCAACAAGGAGAGTTTCGGGGGTATTATATAGATAAAAACAATCCTGTTTTTGAATTATTATGCCAATACACATGCCATCTGGTGGGCATGTTTCTGTTCCTGAATAGAGATCAGCTAAGTACCGGTTGTGAGAAAATAATCTCTCAAAAAAGGGTTACAGGGGTGAAATAGACAACATTTTCCTTTTTAAATATTTACACTTACAGACAATTTGACTGGCTCTTTGCATTTTTTAGAGTAAATATCCGTTAAAATTCAAACCGGAAGGCAGTGTTTCTCAAACTTTCTATACTTGCGCCCCAATTTTCTATCATAATTTTCATCGCGCCCTTCCAAACAATAACAATGTATTGAAGTCAAAAATAATATACTTTGACGTAAAGCTACAATACCACTTTAATTACAAATCGTAAAAATTATCAAGTTATGTATCAAATTTTATACATAAATTTATAACATGCCTATAGGGCCACTGGCAATTATAACACTTGTTCTTAACTTATTACTGTTAAATTAATTATGAAACACACTGTGCAATATTGATACATTTATAAGCGTATTATATCAGTGTAAATGAGTATTTTGTTATTTTGTCAGAATTTATTTTGTGTTTTGTTTCCTTTCAGTAAACTAATAATTTTTTAAAAAAATAATCTTTTGCTTTTTCGACTTTTTGATATACTCGCGCCCCCCTTAGGGGGCGCGCCCCACAGTTTGAGAAACACTAGATATCCGACTACGTTTGGAACCGTGATTTTGCAAAAACGCATAACTGGATAATTTTCATAATATTTAGTGTCACTTAGATTAGAATATATGCATGAAATTGTTTTAAGGACATTTTGACAAATAAATTTATTTAAATACAATATTTTGGCAAAAAATTAACTTAGAATAATCTTTTTTCCAAATGTTCTCCTTTTGTGAAAAATGGTTCTATTATAATAATATTTTGCCTGTATATAGCTCAGACCTCTCTACGGAGGCTCAACTAGAATTTTTGAAATATATAACTTAGAAGTGGGATTATTCATATTTTACAACAGAGGGGAGCAATTTTAAGAAAAAAAAAACGCCAATAATTATGAAATGTTAACGATAGAATCAAGTTGGCAAATGCCTAGCTACTTTCGTATCTCGAGCCTTATAAGAGCTTTGTAAGACCCGCCGTGTAGGGACACGATGCACGTTAATACTTTATTCAACCGCATTATGATTTACTGCAGTTTTTTTCATACAATATTTTTTTTGGAACACTACATTTACAAATTAAGGGATATACATAAACAAAATACTCCACTTTGGAAAATTTAATCCGTTAGAGCTAATAAATTATTTAAAGATATTCCACTGTAAAATTAATTATATACACCGTTCACTTAAAATAAGTAGTGAAATCATTTTCCAAGGTCTTCACTAGCATACAAAAACATAAGACACTTAAATTTTGACATAAACTATTTTTTCGGGACAAAAATAATAATCTTTGCAATCCGCTGAAAACGCAATATCTGCTACAAAACTATTCACCTTCCCCGCTAAAATTCTCATCATAGAACCCATGCTGCCATATATCTTGGAAGAGTGGATTTCAAAGAATATTCCTGCTATGTATTGGTAGAATATTCCTGCTAAGTTGGTGTGGTGTGGTAGTTAGGAGAAGGAGGTGCCAGCTCAGGTGTCGTCCACGTCACTTGAAGATGGTTCAAAATTACATGATGCGTTGCCAAAAGCCCTCGTGTAGCTGAACAGTGTGCGATGTTAATATTCACTCACTCACACACTCAAAAAAATACACTACAGTAGTTATAATTATTTTTATACTTAAAAACGCAATATCTGCCTATTCAATTAAAATTATAGCGTTATAATTAACTACTAACCACAAGAAAATTATGAAAATTTGTCCAAATGATGCAATGTGAAAGAGAAAGTTTATTTACTTTAAGTACCAGAACCGATAAAATCATTTATTTTGAAAAAAGATCAATTTCTTTCTTCCAAATGTGCATAATAAAATCATAAAAAAACATTAAATAAAGAGAGATTTATAACAATCTCTCCCTTCAAAACTTAGTTTTATTCTGAAATAAAATAAATTAGGGATTATGCTGTTTACAGGAATTAATTAGAAGCGAGCGCCTTGCGTAGCCAAAACAAAAATAGTTCTTTCCCAAACAA